ATTAGGTCACTGGAATAATAACACTCTTTCTCTTGGTTCCCTGTATGACTTCAGGTCAGAATTAAGTTATTTTCTCAGAAGTCTCTGCCTTTTTAGACCAGATGTTCCAAACTATGTATGGAAACACTTCCTTTTCACAAGTCATCTTCCGTTGGATTTTGAAATCACAAGTTGCCAAGACAAAGAGCATGCTGGGATATACTAACAAATGAACATGTGGGGTTAAAGCCTTATTATGTGTCTCAGAACACTCTGACTCTTGATTTGCAAAGTGTGCATTTGGAGCAGATGTTGGGATGGGATCCGTGCAAGGGCCTAAAATTATCTTTGTGTTTTGTCATGTAATGACTCCATGGTAAGTAACTACAACAAGGCTGCTAATTACCTTTTTTGAAGGTAACGGTCAGAAGTTCACTCGAAATGATTTTAACCAAAGATAGCGATATTGTAATTATAAAAGGAGTAAGACTTTGTTAGGGACGCAACTACTATCTCAAAATAACTTAGTCAGTTTGAAAATAAGCAGTTTTAAACTTTTGGTAAACATTTTCATAAATTGCTGTTTTCGAAGGGAGATCAGATCTTGGGCTTAGGAGGATGGGGCCTTCACTAAAGCCAGAGCTGTAGGTGAGGCCTCTGGGTGAGTCTGAGTGAGATGCCCCAACACGCCTATTTCCCAGCTGCAGGCATTTTGGATGAAACCAGGGGACCGGATGTGGCCAGAACAATTCCCATCCTCCATCCTACCATCGCAGAAAAACACCTCATGCTGTCATCTTTATCTAACTGTATTATCATCACCCCGGTCCTAGATGATGTAATATGCTTTTATATTTCCTGGAAGGAAATGCTTTATACTGATGCTAAACTCTCGAGCCTCATTTTTTAAAAAAATGTATGCTCTATATAGTAATTATGAAGTTGTGAGTGTGCATGGAATGTGTTAATCTTCATAAACAGTATGGAATTCTTTAAAATTGCCACCTAGATTGTCTGGTTCTTGTCAAACATAAGGAACTTGTGAAATAATTTCTAGCTAAATTATTGGACGTGAAACCAAGTAAAAATGACAGGGATGACTCCCTGATTTTGGTTTTGTTTCTTGGATACAAGGAATAACAACTCACAAGGATAAAAGAGAAAGGATACAGGATACAGAAGGTATACAGGATACAGAAGGTGTCCTGTATCTCACAATGATACAGAAATATGGTTTATAAATTCTAAAATGTAATAGAAATGTTATCACCTTTGTATGTTTCGCTGAAAATAGTTCTAACGCTTGGCGATCTGTATGTTAGGACTTGGGAAGGTAATGGAAATTTAACCAGTTCTTAAAACATTCTATAAGAAAGTAGCACATTAGGAAAGGATACTTAGAGAAGCTAAAAAACAAAAAACAAAAAAGTCCTTTTGTGTCTTGTAAATATGAACTGCCCTTTGAGAGTTATCAAATACAATGGAGATATCACCTAGTCAATCTGATATTTTTAAAAAATGTTTATTTATTTGACAGAGATCCCAAGTAGGCAGAGGCAGGCAGAAAGAGAGGAGGGGAAGCGGGCTCCTCGCTGAGCAGAGAGCCCCACATGGGGCTCGATGCCACGACCCTGGGATCGTGACCTGAGCTGAAGGCAGAGGCCCAACCAACTGAGCCACCCAGGCACCCCTATCTGATAGATTTCTTAAAACAGGACTTTTTCTGGAGGTACTGGTAGTAATCTCTAAAGTCAGAGCTGCACAGTTATGAGTGTGTACCTGTGCCCGGAGTGAACAAGGCATGATATGCCTGCCCTCACAGAATTTATATTCAGAAAATATAAATTAGTAAGCCATCAGATAATTTTAATGCATCCAGGAAACATGTTACAAATTTCCTGCTTCTGTGTAGCTGTTTATCATTTAGAGAGGTTTAGTTTACCGCACTGCATTTATTCTTTACAACAGTGTGCGGGCAGTGAAGGAAAGGAACCCTGGGCTCATTCACTTAGTAAACATTGGAGCTGGATATCCTATCAAACCCACTGCTCTTACTTCCATCCAGGCCACGTTCTCGGTTACAGGACCCTGTGGCTCAGCAGAGTACCACAAAGTAAGTATGCAGCGGACACCTACGTTTATTTGGTGAATTAAGGCATGTTCTCACTAGTTGATTTGCGATATGGAATTGGTTACCTTTACTTGAGGTTTTAAACTCTAGCTACCCTTAGCAAAGATAAATCCCTCTTTAACATCTTTAAAAACCAAACATAAATGCCATCATCTCCATTCTGAAAACAGAGAAAGCTACCTTGTATGTCCAAAGCTGAGATACTTAAACTAGTGTGTAGGAGGGGCATTTAAGGAGCCTGACAACATGTAGGTTCCTGGGTCCCAGTGGAGCCCAAGAGTCTGGGTCCTAGGTGGCTCCCTGTCCTAGGACTGTTGCTCCCTGGAATATACTTGGCAAGAGCGCCATATCGAAAGGTAACATAGCAATTAGACCTGGAAGTAGAAAGTAAAAGTTAACAAGGGGGCAAAAATGTTTACAAAAGAAAAATAAGCCAATGAGAGGAAGATGTGGGGGAAAGGGGAAATCATTTGTAGCATATTTTCATTTTAAATCATTGATACTTTAACACAATAAAATGTAACTGTTTTCTTTGTACATCAATAAATGTAAGATTCTCTGTGGAAATATTTCGGATACTGATGTTACAGCTACATTATCTCTTGAAAGAAACACAAAGTCTTATAGGTGACAACTTGCTCAAGGTAAGCAGAATAAGGTATCCTAAAACAAAATGGTTTTTCTTGGGGGCGGGGCAGGGGGCTTCAGTGCGATGTGGTACATTCTTTGGTAACAACTTTGTTTGCAGGAAGCCTAGTAAAGTTTTGTAATTTTGTGCCTTCAGTGCGTCAGGCGTCCCACAAGGTGTTTCTTGAACAAAGGTAGACACTTATGCAGCAACTAAGAATCAACTCATTCTAACGTTAACCTGTTTATTGAACAAAAACATAAGACCAGAATAACTGTGTGATTCTTGAAGAACATACTGGAGGGAAAGAAAACACATTAATATTGAATGGATACTTTTGGCAGAAGTGTTACTGCTTTTCATTCAACTATTTTGGTAACATAAAAGCCCAGGGACTTTGATGATATTACAGTGTCTCTGTGTTGTATTTTTTAGGCAGACTTTTGCTGAGTAAGGAAATTCTTCAAAGTAGTTTTCATTCAGAGCAGTTTTACCCCCCACTACCCTACCCTTTTAAGTCCCAGAGGCACTGCTGATGTTGATTACTACACCTTAGCTTGGGTTACTAGGAACTTGAGGCAATGGAACTTGGCATTGAAAGGTCCTGAGAGAGAAAAGGGCGTGGGGAAGGAGAAAGAATCTTAAGTAGCTCCACACCTAGCACAGGACCCAATCTCACGACCCTGAGCTGAAATCAAGTCAGACACTTAACCGACCAAGCCATCGAGGGGCCCTAAGAAAGATCATTTTAAAAGTTATGTGTTATGCTTCTAAAATATCTAACAGTTTGCTATTTCATCTATATTTATTATATTTGAGAAACCAAGCCTTTGACAACACTGAACAAAATGAAATAGAGATTTGATGGACATACAGTTTAAGAAATCAGCCAAAAAAATCAACTTTGCAATCTGGGTAATATCCAGTTAACTAGGTAGATGTTTACTTGTCTAAGTTTCTTAACCTGGGGAACATGAACTTGAGTGGAAGAGAAATGACATCCTTAAGTCCACTAACCTCTAATGAAATTTTTCTTTCAATTATGAATACAGGTAACCACCCGTAATAAGTTGTGACTGTGTTTTACCAAAGGAATCACAGAGCTTTGTTACAATTGTTGCAGAGACCTGATTTTCAATCCATAATTATAAACTGTGCTTTTTAGTCTGGTTTGAGAACTAGGCAGGCTCTTATGGTAATGTGGTTTAAAAATTAAATAACAAGATTTTAATTTCTTATAATAGTCCAGTGCGATATAGTTTCTCTAATTCTTGCTCTGCAACTTTAGTGATGCACGTAATGCTTTCAGCAATCTACGTAGCCATATTTACTGAGAGGAAGCTTGACTGAGTCACCTACAGTTTGCAAATGGATTTTGTTCTCTTTGTACACCAAAACTTTCAGTATTTTTTAATTTTGAAAAATAAGCTTTTTTAAAAAGCTTTTTTTTTTTTTTGTTAAAGATTTTATTTATTTATTTGACAGAGATCACAAGTAGGCAGAGAAGCAGGCAGAGAGAGGAGGAAGCAGACTCCCTGCTGAGCGGAGAGCCCGATGCGGGGCTCGATCCCAGGATCCTGGGATCATGACCTGAGCCAAAGGCAGAGGCTTTAACCCACTGAGCCACCCAAGCGCCCCTACATTTTGTTTATTTAAAGATTTATTTGAAAGGGGGATGGGTAGAGGGAGAGGGACTAGTAGACTTCCTACTAAGCAGGGAGCCCAATATGGGGGCTCGATCCCAGGACCCTGAGATCAGGACCTGAGCCAAAGACGCTTAACCAACTGAGCTACCCAGGAGCCCCTATTTATTTTTTTTAGAGGGGGGAGAGAGAAAGAAGAGGACTCCCTGCCGTGCATGGAGCCCAATGTGCAGCCTGAATGCACATCTTTGAAACCACAACCTGAGCCAAAATCAAGAATTGGATGCTTAACTGACTGAACCACCCAGGTATCTCAAGATGTAGCTTTTTAGAAGGGTAATTTTAAGTATTTTAAAATCCCAAATAGGATACTAAATTTATAAAGATATCAGTTATCTTTACCTAGTTACCAATTTTTTTGTAACTATATTTTACTACCTGGTTTTTATGTCATAAAATATTTAGTAACCTTTTTATATAGTTACTGGATAATAAGATTCTAGACTCCTTTCAAGAAAAGTGAATGTATACTGATGATACAGAAGTGATATTAGTCAGTTTTCAAAACTCTGTGACTTATGTGACAGTGGTTAGCAAAAATAATTCAATAGTAACTTATGTGACAGTGGTTAGCAAAAATAATTCAATAGTAATCTGAAACATCACTAATTAACTGCCTTATCTTCTTTAAAATAATTTACTCTAGATTTTTACCTTTTGCCTCCCTGTAAGGTAAGTAACATGGCCTGATTTCAACCCCTGCCCCAGAAAAGGAATATGGATCAAATAAATATTTGTATATTTACCAAAGATCCATTCTGTTTTCATCAGTCTCCTCTTTTTAAGGCATCAAACTCCAAATATTAATGAATACTTTCTCAGGGCTTGGAAAATGTAGAATTTTCTCAGCGTGTCTAATGTGTAAGATGGGGGTGAGCCCTGGTGAGGGTGACATCTGTCTATAAAATGTTATTCTAGACAACTGACACATATTTCACATTGTTGCCCTCCTGTGGAGTTGCTATTTGCAAACTCCAAAGTGAAAAGAAAAAGATGTAAACAGATAAAATCCCGGCTAACAAGTTTGGTTTCTCAATTTCATTGAATCCATTCCAGTGAATCTATTTCTCATTTGCCTTACAGGAAAAGAATCAATGTAAAGTTACTTGTATAAAATCCACAGCTTTGGTAAAGTAGGTTGCGTGGAACATGCAAGGATAAGAGTGCTGCGATCTGCCTCAAGCTCGAGAAGGCGGTTGTCGCGGAGCCGTGTCCAGTAGCAGGTATTTTTCCAGCAGGCTGCTTCCTGTGTTGTTCGTTGCAGCTGAGTCCACAAGCCTGTCCTTCCTTCTCTCACATCGGAATGCAGTGCTTCACATTTTCTTTTTCTTAAAGGGAAAGACTCGGAGGACGTCTCTTCTTTCTGAGTAAAGATGACTGTAGGTATAATACATGCCTAACACAGGGAAGGAAGTGGCAAGAGTAAGTAAGGTTGATTAACCATTTCTCTGGAAAGAACCATGGTTCTAAAATATAGTCAGAGTGCTGCTTGGAGTCTAAGGACAAGACACTTGCATGGGAGACTCAAAGAAGGACCATGTAAACAAGAGGCCAGGAAAGGGAAGTAAAGTGAACTCCTCTACACTCCTATTTTGTTTAAGGCAAGGAATTAATGTTTCCCTTTCTGGAGGGTAGCGCTCTCTACCAGCCCTGAAGTTTCACATCTGTCTTCTTCCTGATGCATTGTTCCTATCTGTCTGACGATGACTCTAGACCAACTACCTTGGGGATTTGTGAAGGTCAGAGCTGCAGAAAGTGAGATGTAATCACAGAAGTCCTTTGCCAATTAAATTTTCTTGACTCTTAAGTTTTTGTTCCACACATTTTTCTTGGGTTTTTAGCACCTACTCCCACGTGCCTGCTGGGAAATGCTAGCACAAAAAACCAAACAAACAGGAAACAAATAGATATAAATGGGAAAACCAGAAATGGCCCAGCCTGCTTAGTTTGACATCTAGGTTTTCTCTGTAGATCCCTGTATCCAGAGTCAAATTTCTAAAATTCCTACATAATACAGGTACTTTACCTGCTTGTAAACCTGTTCTTTATACAGTGAAACAGTGACATACTTGATCTTGTGATACCCTGCGAAAAGCGTTATAACTTCTAGGTGCTTTACTAACAAGGTCTAATTCACCATGCTGGGTGTCCTCCTCTATTTCTCCTATGTTCACAGACCTTTCTGTTAAAGTAGATAGCAGCACAAACCAGAAAGCACAGGAAGAATGCAGAAACAAAACAAAACAGAAAAGCCACTTACCTATAAAGAGCATCATGAGATATATTTTCAGCACGTATGGGAAATAGATTGATAAATCAAAGGGTAGCTTTGTGGAGTAAGTGCCAAATGATTCAAAATATGGCAGCGACTGATAGATGGCAAATGCTGTTGAAAGAACAGAGAAGGAATTGTGAAAGTTTCCCCTCATACTGCTACAGGGGTGTGTATATATAAATGTCTACAGAGCTCAAGGATATTTTGAATTTTATAATAATGGTTTTGACAGATGCTAAATCCTTTAGCTAAAGCTAGAGCTGAGTCAACTGGCAAGGCTGTTACGGCAGTGTGACTTGAACTTATATCCATTTTATACTTGGTTATACCTACAGAGAAATAATTTGTTTCTTAGAATGGTATCCCCCCACTACATATCCCCTTCTCACAGACAAATGAATTTGAAAAATGCTGCACAGAGTTACTTCTTAGAGTTTCAAAACACATTAGTACAGTAACACATTAGTACAGTAGAGATTCTGAAAAGTTCTGCAGTAAAGAAACTGGTTTTCCTCTACAGTTTCTCAGTGTAACTGGCCTTGGAAGAGCTCCTTCTCCCTCCTTACCCACTAGGAAAATTCAAAGAATGCTGAGGAACTCTGGGAGAAATGTTAGCCAAAACATTTTGAGGGGGGAGGCTGGTGTCAGAGAAAAAGATACGGAGGTTCAGAGAGGGGAAGATGGAGGAGGATCCTGAGCTCACCTCATCCCATGGACGCCCCAAGATAACAGATAGGCATGTACATCTATACAGCTCTGAAAACAACCTAAAGACAGACCAGACCTTCCACAGCTAGCTGCGGAGAGAATGTCACATGAAAAAGGGTAGGAGGTGTGGAGTTGTGGTTGGTGCCCTGGTCAGACTAACCACAAAAGGGAGGGACACCACAAAAGGGAGGGACACCACAAAAGGGAGGGACACCACAAGCCTGAAGAAGCCAGGGGATCACACCCCACACCAGAGATGCCTGGCATTAGGGATCTGCACTGGGAACAGAAGTCCCTATAACATCTGGCTTTGAAAACCAATAGGGCTTATCTTTGGGAGCCTTAGAAATCAGCAGGATACAAAGTTAGTAGAAGGAGGGAAATAGAGACTAAGAAAAAAAAAAAGAAAAGACCAGTAAAACCAAGAGCTGGTTCTTTGAAAAGATAAAATTAATGAAACTCTAGCCATGCTCATCAAGAAAAAAGGGGGACCAAAATAAAATCAAAGCAGCAGAAATAATAACTGCTCTATATAAATACAAAAGATTCTAAGACTTATGAAAATTGATATACCAACAAATTGGGCAACTTAAAAATATCTGAATAGACTAATACTTAGTAATGAAGTTGAACTGATAATTGAAAAAATCCCAACAAAAGTCCAGGACCAGGGGGATTTATAGGTGAATTCTAACAAACATTTAAGTTCATACCTATTCATGGCAATTTATTCCAATAGAAGAGGAAGGGAGGCTTCCAAATATATTCTATAAGGCCAGTGTTACCCTGATATCAAAACCAGGCAAAGACACTACCCCCACCCCCCAAAATATAGGCTATCATCCATAATGATCATAGATGCAAAAATCTTCAACAAATTAGCAAACACTTATTCAATAATCTTTCCCATAATTAAGTGGGATTTATTATGGGGATGCAAGGGTGATTCAATATTTGCAAATCAGTGTGATACACCATGATCAACAAAACAAAGGATAAAATCCCTGATCAGTAAATGAAGAAAAAGCATTTGACAAAATTCAGTATCTACTTATGATAAAAACTCAACCAAGTGGTTTAGAGGAACCATTCCTCAACATAATAAAGGGTATATATAAAAAGCCTAAGCTAACACCATACTCAATGCTAAAAAAACTGAGAGCTTTTCTTCTAAGATCAGGAACAAGCCAAGATGCCCACTCCTCCCACTTTATTTAACATAGTTTCTAGAAGTTCTAGCTCCAGCAATCAGATAAGAAAGTAAGAGGCATCCAGATTGGCAAGGAAGATGTTAAACTTACTGCACATGACATGACACTATATGTAAAACTCCTAAAGATGTCACAAAAAAACAGTACAAATGCAGTAAAGTTGCAGGATACAAAACTAACATCTAGAAATCAGCTGCATTCCTATACACTAATAACAAAGCGGTGGAGAAATTAAGAAAACAACAATCCCATTAACAATTGCACCAAAAAGAATAAAATACTTAGGAATAAACTTAACCTAGACGGTGAAAGACCTATACTCTGAAAACTCTAGGACACTGATGAAAGAAACTGAAGATGACACAAATGGAAAGATACGCCATGCCGGTGAATTGGAAGAACATCACTAAAATGTCCATATTACCCAAAGCAAACTATAGATTCAGTGCAATCCCTATCAAAATACCAATAGCATTTTCCATAAAATTAGAACAAATAATCCTAAAGTTGGTACAGAATCACAAAAGACCTGGGGGTGCCTGGGTGGCTCAGCTGGTTAAGCATCTGGCTTCAGCTCAGGTCATGATGCCAGGGTCCTGCGGTTGAGCCCCACATTGGGCTTCCTGCTCAGCGAGGAGTCTGCTTCTCCCTCTCCCTCTGCCACTTCCCCTGCTGTCCTCTCTGACAAATAAATAAATAAAGATCTTAAAAGAAAAAAAAAGTTAAAAAAAAATCACCAAAGACCTCAAATAGCCAAAGCAATCTTGAGAAAGAACACAGCTAGAGATAGCACAATTGCATATTCCAAGATATATGACTAAGCATAATCAAAATAGTAAACTACTGACACAGAAACAGACAGATGAAGGGGCACTTGGGTGGCATAGTTGGTTAAGCATGTGACTCTTGGTTTTGGCTCAAGTCATGATCTCTGTTCATGAGATTAAGCTCCTCTCTGGGTTCTGCACTCAGTGCAGAGTCTGCTTAAGACACTCTCTTCCTCTGTCCCTCCCACTGCTCTAAAATAAATAAATCTTAAAAAAAAAAAAAAAGACATATAGGGGTCATCTGGGTGTCTCAGTTGGTTAAGCACACAAATCTTGATCTCCACTTGGGTCTTGATCTCAGGGATGTGAGTTCAAGCCCCACCCTGGGCTCCACAATGGGCATGGAGCCTACTTTAAAAAAAAAAAAAAAAAGACATATAGATTAATGGAATGGGATAGAGAGCCAAGAAATAAACCCATACCTATATATCTTGTCATAACAAAGAAGGTAAGAATATACAATGGGGGAAAGAGAGTCTCTTCAATAAATGATGCTGGGAAAACTGAATAGCCACATTCAAAAGAAAAACTAGACTCCTTATATCATACACAAAAATAAACTCAATGGATTAAAGACCTAAACCTGAAACCATAAAATTCCTAGAAGAAAACAGGCAGTACACTCTTTAATATTTCCCTTAACAACATATTTATGTTGTTAAGCTCTCCTCAGGAAAGGGAAACGGAAGCAATATTAAACTATTGGGACTACACCAAAATAAAATTTTGCACAATGAAGGAAACCAACACAACAAAAAAGGCAATCTACTGAGTGGGAGAAGATACTTGCAAATTAATTATCTTATAAAGTATTAATATTCAAAATATATAAAGAACTTACACAATACCAAAACCACAATTTAACTGGAAAATGTACAGAAGACATTGAGCATACATTTCTCTGAAGAAGGCATAAGATGTTCAACACCACTAACCATCTCAGAAATGCAAATCAAAATCACAATGAGCTACCACCTCCCACTTGTCAAACAAGTGTTGGCAAGGATATGGAGAAAAGGAAACCCTCTTGCTTCCACTATTGGTAGGAATGTAAATGGGTGCAGTCACTGTGGAAAACAGTAAGGAGGTTTAAAAAAAAAAAAAATTATATATATATATATATATATCTCTCCCATATGATCCAGTAATTCCAAAACAGTATTTACCCAAAGAAAACAAAACCATTAATTCAAGAAGATACATGATTTACAACAGCCAAGATATGGAAGCAACCCAAGTGTCCATCAATAGTTGAATGGATCAGGATGTGGTATGTACACATACACACACATAAATATATATAATGGAATATTACTTAGCCATGAAAAAGGAGATGTTATCATTTGCAAGAACATGGTGGGACCTAGATGATATTATGCTAAGTGAAATAAGATACAGAAAGACAAATGCCATATGGTTTCATTTATATATGGAATCTAAAAAACAAAAGAACAAAAAGGAGAAACATACCCATAAATACAGAGAACTAATGGTTGCTACAGAGGAGGGGGTGGGGGGCTTGGGCAAAAGGGGTGAAGGGGAGTGGGAGATAAAAGCTTCCAATTATGGAATCAGTGAGTCACAAGGCTAAAAGGTACAAGATAGGGAATCTAATCAATAGCATTGTAACAGTGTTGTATGGTAAGAGATGGTAGCTGCATTTGTGGTGAGCATACTGTAACAGAGTTGTTGAAGTGCTATGTGTAGGGGCTTAAATCCAGGAATGTTAAGAATCAGTAGGCTTAATGCAGGGAGAGCCAGAGGGCAATAGGAAACTGAGTCCCCTCACTTAAGAACCCAACATAATAAGTAACTTGGCGGAGACACTGTGCAGAAGCAGCAGTTTGCAAAGTGCCTGGGGTATATGTCAAGAAAATTTATTGACTAGTCTTGGGTTGTGTGCTGGAAAGGCAAGGATCTTTAGGAGATTTCTCTGGGAACAAAAGTGCTGACAGGTGCTATTTCTCTTCCCCTCTCCCAGCCTAGATGGCTGGTCACTTAGGGGAGCCAGTGCTAACACTATCTTGCTAGCACCATGTGACTGACCTGACCCATCCAACCTGCCCCCTTCAGCAGGCAACCCTCAAAGGGGCTCGTGCCTCCCACACCCTGCAGAAAGCCCTGGCAGGGACAAAGCTACTCCAAAATGACTCCTTCCCTGGGGAGGGAAGAAATAAGCCCCACAAATCAGTGCACCCACAGTTTCAGCAGCCCAGGCTCTTAGCTGGCTGTGTAGGGAATAAGCCCTCTGCTTTGGTGGAACAGATGATGTGGCAGTGAGGCTAACTGCAGACACCTAGGCTGACTGCTGGTCTTCCCACCGACTAGTCACAGAGGCCTCAAACAGCACTCTCAACAGTGTAAG